ACCTACAAGGATTCCGTCGAGATGACCCCAAAACAACACTCTAGAGACCAAGCCATACAAGTACAATTGGTGTGCCTGGGGCGGTCTCGAAGCAAATTCTTTTCATGTGCTTATTTATTGTCTTTTCTCGATCAAAGTCTTACATGTCCCTGGCTCAGCGCCTCGATTTTCGCACACGTTGCCAGAGCGTAGCATGCATGCATTTCATCATTTTAGCGGGCGTTCAGATTTCGTACTCTCGCGAGTCAAAAATTCATGAGCGTCGAGAATTTTTCACAGTCTATACACGTTCATACGATACGGGCAGGTGTAATGACGGGGTTCATGGGGAGTTTAGGATAACGGTGCATGGGCATGGCGTATACGGATCTGGGCTGAGAACATTTGTTTTGCGCATGAGAAGCACCTAGATACAGGCGCATGCAACGCGCTGTCACACCAGACAGAATCAACCACATTCTTCACCAGCTGTGCCTCGATGACCTGTGTTGGGTCGTGATTGTGATTGTGACGAGTGCCTCGGAAAGTGCCTCACCAAAACAAACATGAAGTATTGGCCGCGGAACGCTGGGGTGATGAATCGGACGCCAGGCGCGGCCAGTCATGGTTTGGCATCCATGACTCTTTCCCAAATGAGCTTCCCGCAGAAGTCATCGACGTGACCAAACGCGAAGGTGAAACTTTACGCGACCATGATGAGCGCGCAACGGTCGGGATGCTAAACAGACGCGAGTTGTGTTTTTCGTCACATGGACCGGAAAGCTAATCGCCCTCTGCACAATCTCAATCTCGCCACTGCGTGTAAACAACAAGGTACGTAGCCCCGCCACGCGATGCCGCATGCAGTGCGGTGGCCTTGTTCCGGAACATGCCTCACTTGCATCTGCGCACCCGAAAGATGCATGGTCTTTGCACACTATCACACTTGCGCATCGAGGGCCCGAAACTAATAGTCTCGCGTCGCAGGAGAGCGCAGCGACTCTATCCAGCATGACCAACGGCCAATGCGGCACGCCGCTGCCATCACACGATATGCACAATGCTAGTAGTCGATCACTGGGCCCAGCCTCGTCACAACCCCAACATGTTTCTCCGAGTCCTACCAAAGCAGGCCCTGCTGTACGTACCTTTTTCGACCCTTGGAATTCGAGCTCCACCGGCCACCAGCGCGCGGAGAATCGCCTCTCGGGCTCGACATCATGGCGCGCCTCGCGCAACCTCAAGCTTAGCGAGCAGTACAAGGGAGGCCTCGGTGGTGGGGGTTCTCGTGTCGCGGATACCGTCGGCGCAGGCAGTAAGGATTTTGGCAAGGATGGAAGGAAGGAAATTGGAGGCTGGGAGAAGGGTGCCAAAGGCCTGCGAACTGGTGGACAGCAGAGCCTCGCTGAAGTATGGGGGGCCAGCAAGCCAGGCCTGGGGCAATTGCAACAAAAGAATCCTGAGCGGGCTGCCCTAGATGTTGAACAAAAGTCCAGATCTGGGCATTCGGACAACTGCAAAGGTACGTCTTACCCATGCGCAGTCCTAGTGTTTGATGTGTAGTCCAGCCCTACATAACTTAGAAGCTGACAAGATCTAGTACTAACACATTCACACAATGAGTTGGCCGTTGCCCCTTCAAATCCTGCTGAAAAGCAAATATTCGCTGGACTATGCTTCTACATCAATGGCTCAACTGCACCCTTGGTTTCCGACCACAGGCTCAAACACATGTTGGCTGCCCATGGCGCCAAACACTCCATCGCTCTCGGTCGTCGCACTGTCACCCACGTGCTCCTTGGCATAGCGAGTGCCCAGGGTGGTGCAGGGGGTAGTCTCGCTGCAACGAAGATCCAAAAGGAGATTTCCAAGTCGGGCGGCAAGGCTGTCAAGTTTGTTACCACCGAATGGTATGTCCTTTCCTCATCACGTGTATCGCTAGAAGGTTCTTTGAAATAACGTTCAAACGCAGGGTCCTGGAATCTATCAAAGCAAACCGCCGTCTCCCGGAATCCCGCTTTAGTCCATTGAAACTCGCACCTAAAAGCCAGAACAGTGTGTTCGGCGTAGCGCGTGCCGCCAGCAGCAACACCACGCTACAAGATCATGGCTGAAGCTACTGGCCGAGCCATCCGCCGCCTCACAGTAAGTTACCCGAGAAACTCGGTATCTTCCGACAAGTGTACCCACGCGCATTATAAACATGGGGGTCCATTATTTTCATGAGCACCCGAGGATATTCCAGTGGTACGTTGCATGATAACCTCAAGTCAGTCAGCGTAGTCGTGGTTGAGGCGCTCAGCTCTTGTTCGGAGAGTATTGAATAGAGTTTACATGGTTACTGTGGAGGCTGCAGGAAATATGCAGCCAAGCAAACATGCTCCGCAGATGTAAGTTCGAAACATTAAGACGCATGCTCCATGAACGCACCATGCATCAGTGTCGAACGAAAAGACATTCAGAAGGAATGCCGAACTTATGGGTTAGACTGGTCCACTATTCCACCGGTGAGCAGTGTGGAGAATCGAAACGCGTTGCCATCAGAGTATAGTAACGATTAGCAAAAGAAATGACAACGATACCGTGGCAAGACATCATGCACATTATATGATTTCTAAATCTCATGAACGCTGGGTGGGACTTTGGGAGAGAGCGTGGTGTGGAGTCTTTCTGCCAGAGCTGAGCAGTTGAGATATGTCGTTCTATGCTGTATAGGATAACAGGATAGTCTCGCATTCAAATCAAAGCCCGTGTCGTTATTTAATTATCATTGTAGTCCTATGCGTTCTGAGCACGTAGGCTGGCTCGTTTGAGATATCGTGATAGAAGGTCTCGTATCATGATGAAATGTCAGTGTCATCCGCAGGAAGGAGTGGTTGACGTTCAAAGACGCGATGATGTTGTCAGTCTTTATGTCCGTGATGCAGATGCCGTATGTACTGTACTAGGGCTGGCGAACTTGAATGGGCCGAAACCAACATCTAGTATCTAAATAATAGTCCTTGTGTATTGGTCGCATGGCGCGAAAGTTGTCCGAGCCGTCGCTATCTGGCATCTCTTGGTTGAGTTTTTGGAAAATTTGATTGTTCAAGCCCTCTTCATCTCCGAATTCGACCTTGGTGTGAGTATGCTTGAGTATATATATCAGAGTCTGTATATCGGCGGAGCTTTCCTACTCAGCGATATGTAGTGTACATGTCCTCGTTGTGAGGAAGGGAAAATAATGTGTCTCCTGACTTTTCTAGTTGGCTCCCTACATCCAAAAGTTGTAAGCACAGGGTGGTAGTAGTCTCATGTTAGATCCAAGCTGATTGATGAAAGATTAAGAGTAGAAGATAATCAGCCCATAATGGATACTCAAATTGGACATTTATTCAGCCCTAGAGGCGTGTCGCCAAGTCTAAAAGCAGTATTTGCGTCGGTCGAGTAAAATTACTACTATGCGAAGGGAGCTGTATTTGATAATTAATCGACCCATAAAATTGTCATTCGTAACGGTCTCTCACACAACAACGCATTGAGAAAAAAATCTTAATTTTGGAGCAGATGAACTTAATATAGCGAGAAAGATGCGTTATCGGCTCTAGACTATGTCCTTCCTGTGTTCTAGAGATATATGCAATATGTCTCGTTCCATTTCTGAGGTGGTGCAACGTTGAATTGGAGCCCTTCATAGCCATTGAAACAAACTCGCTATATCCGAGAAGGTAAAATGCAGCGCTTAATTAGTAGGGTCTTGCAAATAATGTGGCACAACACGTTTTATTCTGATCAACCATACATCGAGTAGGCTCAGAGGATTTGTCAGAAACATAAAAACTTGTCATTCAGATTAAGGCAGTCACTAGTAGGACCACCAATTGGACCCACTGTTGGCGCAATTAGGGGAAAGCGATAGGTGACATAGCATCTCTGCTGAGGGATGAGTGCTCATGTTACTTTGGTTTACAATGGACCCGTGTACTGAATCCCCGACATGAGCATTTCGGATGAGGATTATCCTTGTATGTAGTCAAGACTGATCTCAACCAACGACCTGCAATTTCTTGAATGTTTTCCGAAGCACGCCGCCAGTGACCGGCTTAGATAGTCACTACTCAGCGTAGTTTAGCAACAAGTCGAACGCATTCTTTGATCGATGATTCGACTGCTTTCACCAGCCCATAGCCTAAGACTCATTGCTGTGTATATTACTTCATCTAGCTGTTATAAGTAAGACTTGGATGAAGGCAGATTAGGAGAGGGATTCGTTGACAGAAAACCCCTGTGATGGAATAGTTGCTGGGTCTGTTCATCAATAGGCCATGAAACCGCAAAGGTTCCCCGACGTGATTTGATTTCGCAAGAGTTGGAGAACTAGTTTGATTGAGTGGGATAGGTGATTAAGTATGTTCAGGGGAAAAGCCATTGCTGCTCATTACACGACTGTACCGAATCAATCATCGAAACAACGCTCGTATCACACAAGGTGATATGTGTGCTTGCACGATTTTCGCACGTGTCTCCGGCCAAGCTTGTGCAATCTCCTCTACGAATGAGTCGGAGGTTGTCCGTCCATGAAGATGCATTACGGCATTTCGTTGGAAAATTCGGCGTTTTCGAGTAAGATGGCAATCGATGGCCTTGTGCTACATTGTCGAAGGCTCCACCAAGGCACCGGCCCATTCTCGATTGCTGAGCACGCGGGCACAGGTCATTGCTTCAGAAGACGTTATAAGATTTTGTTCCGTGGTTGATAGCGTTGAATTGGTAATATCACAGTCAAAGTATCATTCGAAACAAGGTTGGAATGTGTAATCAGTTTAGTGGGGTGGTTCTAGACCAACGCGGATCCGTTGTCCCACTAAGGGTAAAAATGCGGCCCTCAAAAAGTAGCGGTGAGAGAATTTTCGACATACTGTGATCTTTGTTGAGATGCCCTGAAATGCGTTGAAGTCCTCCTGGAATGAGGGATGCATTTTGCGTAGGTTATAACCATCAAAAATTCCAATCTTCCATCGAAGCAACCAATTCAGGTTCTGGGGCTTGTGGTCTAGTGGTATGATTTTCCCTTAGCAACTCCTCTCCACGAGGATTAGCATGGGAGAGGTCCGGGGTTCAATTCCCCGCGAGTCCATCTTCTTTTTTGGTTGAAAGTGGCGTTGTGGTGTCGTGTTTGGTGTTGGGTCGCATGTGCGACAGTGCCGCGTTTGGCGACCAAATACCCGGACATTTTTTTTATGCGATAAAACATAATCGCAGTGACATACGAAGCGTGGGTTTGTGTAGTGATCGATGTGCGCTTGATGCTGACCGCACTTGAAGCTGGCGATTATTTGCACTGCTCGTGGTAAGAGATTCAGATGAGAGTCATCACACTATATTGCAAGGAATTGTAATGACGAGAACAGACCAATCACTTTGTAGGAGCTACAGCTCTTCAGCATTACCTACGCCATGGCTTCATGCTTCGCTGCGACTGTACATGTTTAGCTCCCTTTATTGGGGCTTTGGCTCCGATCTGGCAAATCTGTTCCTTGCACTGTGCACACCACGATATGCAACGTCTTACGGCGTTATCTCTATTGTCTTAGAGTCCATAATACTTGAAGTCTATGGCGAATGTGCCTAAAAGGCATCAACAAGCGCGACAACTTGGCCACATACAATATTTGTATACGACCTAGTATTGACTAGTCGTACAAGAATAGATGAATGAAGTATTGCACTCCTTCACATCTGTATTGATGCCACGTTCCGTCCTTGTGTCTACGATCTGGGTCTTGCACTGCAATCATGTCCTCGATTCGAATACTTGAGACAGAGAGACTACCTTCCCTTCCAGCGACTCAACTTCTCCTTAACAGCATGGAACAGGCTTCAAATATGGAGCACTCAGAGACTCTTTTATGTGGATGTGATGAATGGCTTCCCGAGTTGTCGGGTGCAATAGGTATTCTCAATGCTCAAGCTACACATGATTAATTCCATCCTCTAGCACAACCACCAGAATGGACCTATATAGTGCTTGCACACCAAAGCAGAGCATCTGAGCGGTGCTGTGCGTCACTTTTGTCTAGATGTGATGCGTAATTGCAGTGTTGTCGATGACGGGACACCAAGGATCCACACAGGTGACCAGGCGTGAAGGTTCAGGGATATCAAGCTTAAAACAAGGCCGGAAGCTCCATGCAGCTTATTTCCTAACATTGATGGATCGTACAGGTTTTCGCCAATCTTTCACCATCAAAGCACCCTTGAGGTCAACACGTCCTTCCAGGAGGACACCGGGCTCAGCTGCGACCGCCTGGTATGGTTCTGAACTTGTGTCATCTTCTCTCTTCCTTTGGACCCTTCGCTATTGGTGTCTAAATGCTGTGATCGATAACAGACAGCATTTCCTCACTTGCTGCGCATCCGTACTTAGATGGGTGAGATTGTCGACGTACTGTGAACGACGTTTTCGCCAGGACATGTCACGTCTTAGGGCATATGATATACGACTACAATCATCCTGTGCAGTACGAGCGGGCTATCGTAGGAAGCGGAGACGAGGTCGCAGATCGTGGTGTTGGTGTTGCTCGGTCGTTTGGCTATCAGCGGAAAGAAGCCCTCGGCCGACCCAAATGCGCACTCTCTTTCACACAACCGTCCCTCTGGGTCCATGCATGGATCCATGCAGGTTTTGCAGGTTTTTAATGAGGAGCCTGGTGCAATTACGCCGCGTTTTGTAGCATCCGCTTCCCACGCTGGGAGCAATGTTTTGAGCCGTGCGAGCCAGTTGTGTGCACGGTGTGACCTTCCTTCCGTGCCACAGTTCTACGTTACCCCGGCTGCTTATATCGTGCTCTACACAACTTTAGCACCACGTCCCGCACTCACCACTACTTCTATTAAACTGACTCGGCTGTGGCAACGAAGCCTCAAGGACAAAAACATATAGTCTCACGATGACAAGTCCCGCATACTCCTCGCCCGAGTGGTACCTGAAAGTCCAGGATCAAGACGTAAGCAGCGACCTCGGGCGACTAACTATTTTCCACTATGGTTTCAAGCAGGCAACCGAAGGCACTCTATTGTTTGGCTCACCCGACTTTTCCAATGCGCCCCGAGCTGTGCTCGATGTCGGAACTGCAGACGGTCTTTGGATGCGCGAAGTCCAGTCTTCAGTCCCGGCGCCGCCTCAGGGCGAGCACACATTCATTGGCACAGACGTCAATGCCAACTTCTTTCCCTCTACCTCGACAAAGAACATTACCTATGTGAAGCAAGATGTGAGAGAGCCACCGCCACAGGAGTGGCATGAAGCCTTCGACCTCGTCAACATGCGCATGATCCTCATCGCTGCGGGATCTGGCGCAGCTCAGCGCGCTGCAGTCAATGAGCATATCAAGCTTGTGAAGCCTGGAGGTTGGATCCAGATCGGAGATTGCGATCGCACGTGCCCGACGCCAGAGTCGGAGAACCCTCGCTATCACGACATGTGGGCCTGCGTACGGGCTGTTCTCCGATCTTCTGGCGTGGACGCTCTGGAGCCCCCAAAAATGAAGTCGTGGTTGGAGGAAGCGGGACTCGAGGAGGTACAGGAACGGACGGCAATGCGTGCGGTGGGGAAGCGTAATGTGGATGAAGAGTTAGGGAGGATGGGTATTGAGGCGGATTTGCTCATTGCCCAAGGAATGGCGGCGGCTGCGAAAGGTGAGTCGCGTGATCAATAAGAGAGGTTCTAGAAGCATGCTGATCGCGATAGGTTTGAGTCCATCTCTGAAGCCGTTAGCAGATGACCGGCTCGACTCACTGGGACGTGATCTAAGGACTGAGCTGACCAACACTGGAGCATATTTCCCCATGCGCTTCATCTGGGGCAGGAAGCCACTCTAGGTTCTATACTTCAGACGTGGCTGACTCGAGAATCGATAGTGTTTCCATTGGTCCACAGTCATCATGCATATGGTGAAGTCGTGCAAATATCGAGTACCATAAGTATTCGTGCTACCATGCAAATGCTTAGATGCAATGAGCAACATACAATTGGTCACGCAACGTCTAGCATGCGGAAAAGGAATGCTTATATCAACAAGTCCAGAGCACGTTGTGTGCAATGCAGCCCGTCTCAATATTTCTGTAAATCCAGCTAGCTTTACTTTTCATGCCTAGCACCTACCGTGTACCCCTTAGAAACATGTATGGCACCATTCTTCGCCGCTTTTGAACTGTCCACATGCTCTGCGCTTGCTGTGTGTCGGTCCGTCATATCATGCAATTGGATGATATCCTCCTCATCTGCTCCGCCCTTCAGATGCGACGCATAGTGAGGATCCGTGCTACCAGAGGAACCCCCAATGTTCGACCTCGAACTTTTCCTGCTGATGATGCTGCTTACGGAGCTCACCAACCCGCTGAATATCCCGTTCTGAATGACTTCGCGCATAACGGGTCGGATGGTCGGAGCACAGGCAGCAAGGATACCGACTTGGATCTCAACGAGGGTCCACACGCATGTCGCGGTGACGCCGACTGGAAAAGGTTAGTGACTACCCAACCGTAGAACTCAATTGACTTACGTCCTGGGTCCATGATCTTGTTCTTGGGCGCAAATTTAGTGTATATCCCAATGTACGATCGTGCCGTGCTGGCCCCAACAGATCTAGAGAAGTGTTAGGTGGGATCACACATGTGAAAGTAGCGATTACATACACCATGCCTATCAAGAAGATTGCACAAATGGAGATTTTATCAATTGTGCGAAGGTGGAGAGACCAAATCTGGAGCATTTTGTGAGCCACTGGTGTAAGCATGTGAGGAACTACCGTACCATTGGGAGAGGAAGTAGGACCGTTACAAGATCTGACACCGTGCCAGATATCAGAACTCCGAAGTCCAAGTGCCGAGTGGATCCGCATTCCCTGGCTTGGACCGCGGGATTCATGTGGTCTCGCGCAGAGAAAAGGCCATTGTCTCCACAGATAGCCATGAACGCAGTGAAGAAGCCCACCGTCCACATGACCATGAAGACAATCCATACGATGATGAATGGGCGGAACTTTGGGATGCTGAAGATCTGAAGGTAGAAGAAGGATACGGAGGTCTTGATGAAGCCTATGGCGAGGATGCCAGTGACGACGAATGCGTAGTTGTGCTTGCAATCACTTAGCAGACTTCCAAAATCGAGGTCGGTAGCAAGACTCACCATTCGTGCTCTGTAAAGGAAATCCACTGCAGCAGCAGGATTTGCTTTCTGTAGAGGTGCGACTCGCACAGCGAATATGCCATTGGCAGCGCCTATGAACAGTGTTAGAACAAAGGTATACTTTACTTCGTCCAGTCGACCCTTCCAACAGTGTTGAGCGTAACACGAGACTACTTCTACGATCCAGCTCGATTGATTACGTGACCACATGTTCAGCGGCTTCTTCAGACATAAATTACGTACAGTATATTTGCTCTATTGCCAGAGCGGTCGATAATACACCCGCGACAATGATCAAGTAGTCTGATGTGTGGAATTTCAGACCCTTCATCTTGTGCGACACAAAGCGTGAGACGATGATCGCCAACACCAGGGTCTGAACGATGACTGCGGCCGCGATAAGGCCATGTGCGTTGTCGTAAGCCATGGTGCCAGGTGATCGCGAGGAGTAGAGCACTATAGCAACATCAAAGTTGTCGTGTGTCGAGTCGATGTCGAGTCAGTGAAGATCTGACAAGCGCAGGTTAAAAACTACCAAGCAGCATAAACGCGAGCGGGAGCGGGTTTGCGGCTGTCAAATTGAAGGAACGTTGCGCACTGGACTCTAGTTCGTTATCGACCAGGGTGTTTAGATGTGGCTGATTACTGGCTGTTCAGGTCTGTTGTGCAACCTCGTAATGAGGGAGAACTCCGAAATGGGACTCTGTTGCATGTGCTGTCCGGCAAACTGCAAAGCGATTGGTGGAAGGCTGAGGCACGCATACAATGTGGTTGGGACGGCCGTCGCCACCCCGTCAGACAGGATAGCTGATCAACCCTAGGTTGTGTTGCCATCCCGTGTGGGCGTTATCGGTCTTCATGAGCAAGAGCCGAATGCTCCAAGCCTACAGCGGTCTATATGGTCAACCTGAGTGCATGAAAATCTTGGTTTTAATTCGAGAAATGGA